CTGCCTCAGCATTACTCTTTTGGTTCTCCTGTTCCAGTCAGAATACGTAACCTTCAAACTCTCTTGATTATCAGGAAACACTTTTCATTAGCTCACCCAGACCACTGTGGCAGGCATCATCTTCATTTACCCAACAGCCATTGCCTCTCAGCTGAACAGAGTCCAGTTTGGTTTTAGATGTGCTCAGAGAAAATGGACTCCTCCCCCAAATCCCAGGGGAGTGAAACTTGATTGACCTAAATCAACCATAGTAATAGTAATTCCATTCATCTCTGGCAGGGACTGGGCATGTGACACAGTTCTGGCCAATGAAATGTAAGGAGAACACAGCTGAGGGGCCTCTGGGAAATTTTTTCCTTTCCCCTGTAAAGAGATGTAAATGGAGAGGGCCCTGACCCTTCTCTCTCCCCTGCTTTGAAACACTGTCATGTAAGAATGCACAGCTCCTGTTGCCACAGCCATCTTGTGACCACGTGGGGAGGCATGACTGACACTCTTTAATGCCATCCCTGAGCTGCAGGACCAACCCTGTAACAGCCCACTTGGAGATTTATTGTTAAACAAAATAATGTGTCCTTGGTATTTAAGCTACTTTTGATAGGGGTATTCTGTCGTTTGCAGCCAAAAGCTTCCAAAAGATGCAGGCATGCTTGCTTAGTAATGTCTTACAGGTGAGCTCAACAAGGAATGGGGTTTCTGATTGTCTCTTTCAACATACAGGAGGTACTTCAGGAGTTATTTATGATGAAGCAATTCATTGTTAAGACTCTGACTGACTCAATCCCTGAAAACTAGAACCCTCTCACCTCCAATGAAATACTAGGCAGTTAGACTCTTTGTAGTCAACTGGTAATTAAGTGGACCCTCATTCATTAGCTTCCCTAGCAACACTTGACTTGATAGTTCGTGGAGAATTGAGGCCTGGGGTGGTGGAGGTGTTGTGGTAGGGATAAAGTGTTTAAAGGCAAAGTAATACTTAAGGTGCACAGGTAAAAGCTGAGCCCCATTAAATAGAGAATTTTCATGTAACCTTTTTCAGCTAATCAGTTTTAGGACTATTCCATAGTCTTATGTCTATCCAGTTCCATGAAGTTAATTAATTTTCATTGCATTGTAAATGTCAACCAAGTTGCATTTTAATGTATTTGTGCATTTTTTATGCAAAGATTGCATAGGCTATCAATTTGATGAACTCCTTGCAGGGATTATGTGATAAATATAATTAAAGGACTGAGTTACAAATAGTTCCCATAGTTACAAAAGCAGAAAGTGTCTTGAAGTGAGTATTAGAATTCTAAACTGGTGATTTTTATTCTATGCCAGAAGCAATTTTTTTCCTCTGTGAGTCACATTTCTGTTATGGTCATAAAGATCATTGGGGAAGTTGTGAGCATTAAAGAAGTATTTATTTAAACTGTATTTTTCAAGAATATATCTAGTATATAAATCAAAATAGGCTATAGATATTAAATGTGAGGTGTGTGTGTGTGTGTGTGTGTGTGGTGTAGACTGTAATACAAACTATAAAATCCACTGGGAGAGCATGTGAATAAAAGTATCTATGAGTTCACCAATTTGTTGCATTTTTGCATCTTAGAATGTGTAAGATTGTATTATTACCCATTCTACCATCTATATAATTCTCACTTTCACTCAAAATCCAGAAATGCAGCAGGCATTTTTAAGTGAATGTAAAGATTCTTAAGTTCTTCCTGATCCTTGTAGCTCCACACAGGATATACCCTGAGATAAGTGAGGGGAGAAAATTCAGAGACTATTTTAACAGGTTCAGCAGTCTAGGAAGTACCTTTCAATGCTGTGAACAAGAGGTCTCTTTCTGAAAAATTGTACTTACACATGTACAATGGTAGACGGCACACTGGACTTGGGCATCAAAAACAGCGGGTCTCAGATCACTGTACTACCTGTGTGACTGTGGGCAGGTCGCTTGGCCTCCCTAAACCTCAATTTCCTCCAGTCTCAAACTGGGATAATAATCTCTGCATTAACTACCTCTCGAGCTTATTGTAAACTCCAAACAAAACAATAAAAATGAAATGTTCCAGATGACGGTAATTTGGAAACTAAGTGCTTTATAAATGTCAGATACTTACAATTAATATTTTGTTTTCCTATTTAATCTCCTTAAGGTAAAAGAAATGTCAACAATTTTGTTTCTGAAATAATTCCACTTACACGCTTAACTGTGTCAAATTCTGTTGAATCGCCATTAGGTAACCGTGGAGGAATAGCCAGGCCAATATAATAGTCCATCACTATATTTTCCCACATGGTGTCCTTCAGAGAAGTAAACTGGGCAGCTTTAGTGCTTTAAATAGTTGCTTCCTATATTTCTGCTCTTGTTGTTCTTTTCAATTGTTCTAACTTGGCTGGCAGGCATTTTCTGGCCGACTGAGCTGGCTAGATTCAGGTTCCAGTCGCATACTTCCGAGGTCTATTTTAGACCAAGAGCCTAGGGGGCAAGACCATAGTTAGTAACTGGCTGTACAACAGGTGTTTAAACTGAAGTTTCAACTGTGATGGTAATTGTATAATCATCAGTTCCAAAGTGAGGGCGAGGCAAAGTCTCCATAGGGCAAGTTACAAAGAAACATACAGACTCCCTAGACCTGAGGTCCAGACTGAGGCTAAACATAAAGAGTTAGAGAGCGAAGTAGGAGGATATGTGAGGACATATCTTGGGAGAGAAGTGTGGAGTGCCACCGCCATCTCCAACCCAGTGAGAGGGGCTTCCCAGGGGGGCTGCAGTTAAGTGGCCCAGAAGACTGGAGGCCAACTCCCTCCTGGGAAAGCTAAAGCTCCACATGACAGCACGGAGGGGGTTGCATAGGCATCAGCCTGCACTCTCAGAATCACTGGGGCAAGATATGTGTGGGGTTTCCCTTGGACAAGATATAGGGTTATCTTGGGACCCATTTAAAGGGGCTAGAGTGAGCCTTGGATTTCTAGGGCAGGGAAGGACGTTGTAAAAACCAGTGGAATAGGGCCACATCCCAGGAAAGACCCACCTCAGTTGCTTTAACCATAGGCCGGGCACAGCAAACGCAAAGCCAGTCAACTCCAGGGAGGGCTCCTGGCTTCTCTTTCCCCCACTTCCTGACCACCTCCACCCATGGTAGGTGGTCTTAAGTAGCCTCTAGTAATGGGGGCGTAGTGAGCCTAAGCCACTGCCTCCCTGCTGGGAGGGTCAATTACAGACCTTAAGGGAGAGACATCCAAAGCCTTACTGTCACACGGAGTTCAATACATTTGTTTGTCTTCTACCCAACATTATAATTTTGCAATGAAGCTGTGGTTGAGACTTAGTTAATATAGGACTATCAGTTTTCTAAAAATGAGCAGAAAATACAAGGACTCTAACCAACTTTTCCATCCGGCGGGAAATGGAGTTGCATTTTTATCACATTCACAAGTTGTGAATTCAAAATACTAGTTATGGTTTTATATTAAATGCGTAAAGGCCCCTTTCCACAATGGAGTCCAGTGGCCAGTAAAAGGGACTTGATGATGTGATAATTCATGTTGAATCACTGGAAAAAGAGTTCAAACCTGAATAACACAAATACTGTTTCAGGACCCAAACTTATCTAATTAACATATTTTACACATAACAGATAATAAATATTTATTGTCTGTTATGTGTAAAATCTTGTCAGGTACTTTGAAGAGTACTAACCTTTAGTTCAGGTTAGTAATATTTCCCACGTAGCATGATACCTTAACACATAGTATGTGCTCAAAAGCGTTTTCAATCTAATTGTTCTTTACCATATACTTAGCACCAAGGGATGTGGCATTTTTCCAATGTTAACAACAACAAACACTTCAGCTGAAAAATCCCCATATTTATAAATGTGGTGCAAACCTGAGTGGAGAGTGATTATGGTCTCACTTGTATTTAACACTGTAAAGTGTTGCTGAATGGTCTAATAGGAGACAACATAATTTAAACCAGAAATATATAAGTGGGGTTCCTTTTTGCCAATCAACTATAACACAGTAAAAACGAAAAATTATTGCCTAGACTTGAATCTAGATTGTCACTCACTAGACCTCAGGGTCCTCCTTTGTCTCCTGTGAATGGGGATGCCAAGCTGGTTACCTCACAGTGGCAAGGGTGCTCAAAGAGATAATACACAGTGGAATACTCTTTGTAAACTCTAAAGGGCTGCACAATGCAAGGGCTCAATAATAACAATCTAACATTTCGTTGATTGCCACGTGCATAACGTTTTAAATCTATTTTCTCAATCTTCGCAACCATCAGAAGACCTACTAGGTACCATTATTTCCCTCCATTTTACAGACTGAGAGGTTAAGCAACTACAATGTTAGAGATATTATACAGAGCCACAACTTGAACCTGTAAATCCTTTAACCCCTGAGCACTAAGCAGCCGTCCTTTTTATTGTTCTTTAACAGAGGCGCTGAGATCTCACAGGGGTTCAACAAATGTGGTTCGGTAAATTGCTATTTTAAAGATAGATGTCTTCCCACCGGGGGGGTCGGCCACGCGGAGCCCTCGCCCTTTCTCTCAAAGGCACGCTCAGAGGCCCTGCTTCCAGCCCTTGCCCACGCTCCTCCCACTTCCACGCCTCTGAATCTCTACGCATGCGTTGTGGGACGGGCGCAGGCCCAGTGGCCGAGCCACGAAACGCCCCGCCTAGCCCCTCCCGGCCCCGCCCCGTCTTCTGCTTGGCGGTTTCCACTGCCTGGGGACGACTGGAAAATGAGCTGAACCTCCGCAGCTGTTACTGTCTCCAGCGCTAATCACAGGTGGTTTGGGTCTGGCCAGAAGTCCCCTTCCCTGCGCCCACTTCCAACTCATTCCCTGGCCCGCTCCTCCGAATCGCCCAGCAGCGACCTGGCTCTGCAAAGTAGGCAGCCGGAGCGGCCGCGGTAGGTAGTTTGTGTACGGTTACTATGGAGACGATGGCGGGCCTGGCATAGCGGGCGGGCGAGCTGGGTGAAGATGCTACTGCTCTTTGCCCTGGCCTGGACCGATGGAGGAGGGGGCACTGTTGGGAGTCGGGGAGCCACTGTCCGCGCGGAGGTGAGGCGTCCTCCGCCGGTTCACAGGGGACCCCCTCCAGCTCTCGTCGACCTTTTCGTCCCCGGATGGGGGGAGAGAGAGGCGATGAGAGTGCTGTGCATAGTCTCGGCGTTGGGCCGCCCTGTCTTTATATCTATACACCGAGCATTCAGCCAAGTGCGTGGTGTTTAATAGAAGCTCATTAATATTTGTTGAATGAGATAATGGTAGACTTAAGGGGCAGTGTCTAGGCCAAAGTCATAAAAATTGTATCTGGGATCTTTTAGGCAACGGATAGAGCCTTAATAAATAAATAACTGTATGTGTAATGTTAAAATATATCGTATGTACATATAATGCTTTTTATCATCCATTTTCACGAGTATCACAGCAGGTCTTGCATCTCACCCTGATTTAGAATTACTTTAACTTGGTAGAAAAGCAGTTATCCCTCTATTTGTTTGTATCCTATTTTGTGAGTCTATTAAATTTTGATTACTTGTTGATTTAGCATAGCTGATATTCAGTAAAATACTTACTAAAAATTCTGTTTTCATAAAGAAAAACATCTGTCATTTAAATTTTAAAACATATAAAATATATGAAAACACTGAACAAATGTCATTCCCTTTCTTTCGTGATTTCTTTTTTTTTTTTTTTTTTTTTTT